AAGAAGAATTACATTACTTGAACAGTGAACGGCCATAGGGCTATTGCATTTAAAATCCGTACCCCCCGGTTGAGGACTTACCTTTTCATCTTACCCCTTAAGATTGGCTAAAATTGCATTCACCCCTGAAGACTTCCGTAAAACATGGGTTTACCCCTGAAGAATTGGGTCATACCCCTGAAGAATTTGGGTTTACCCCTGAAGAATTTTGTGAAAATTAAGGCTTCACCCCCAAAGAATTCCATATTTGTTTACTCTATATCTACCCCTAAAGAAATCCTAAATTTTTATAACTTACCCCTGGAGAATTCCATGGTTCCTCAACCGAGGGGGGTGCGGATATTAAATGCAATAGCCCATAGTTAGAAATTTTTCGATTTTCAATATGAAAAAATTATTTTCAATTGTCAGCCCTCCCACTTTTCACCTTGCTCCGCGGTCCCTGCAATGTAAGTGGCCTGGCAGTCGCAGCATTTGATCTTGTATACTGCTCCGTGTGAGTGTTTCGTCTAACAAAGTCCGTGTTGTAGTCGTTTTTTACTAGAAACGTTGTTTAGGTTCTCAGTTTCGCCTTGTAGGCTGTCAGGCGAGTCGCAAACTAGTTGCGCTCGTCTTGTCAAAGTCCGTATAGTTGTAGCCTTGTGGGAGGTCGGGTTGTACTATGACTGGTCTAGTAATCTGTAGGTATGTGTCGGTTTTCTGTAAACTGTCTTTTGTATACGTAGTCTGCTGTTGTCGCCAGTGACCAAGCAGTCTAGACTGGTATTTTACCATTTTCCTCGATCTCCTTGGTAAACTGTATGTCCGCGTTCTGTCTATTAAGGTGTTTTTAGTGAGACAAACTGCAAAAAGGACTTTGTTAGATGGAACACTCACAGTAACACTCTTTCCAACACTCCGGCCAACGTTAACTCTGGCCCTGTAACGACAGGATACAACTCACACTCGTGATAAAACTAACTTTGAATCTGAAGATGACTACTGCACAGGTTGTCGAAACGTCAGTCACTGTCAACAAGAGTCCTATTCAGGACTACGTTCACCCTATGAAATGATTCCTGGGTTCAAACCTGTCACATTATTATTGTTATTTGACAGATTGATTAACGCAGAATAGAGTTTGATTCTACAGGTCAATTAATGGTAATTTGTATCATAAAGTAGTGTTCTCTGCTTATGTCCTATCATCGTAACGCTAGCCTTAAACGCAAAATATTGCTAATAAATCGTTTTTCAAAGTAACTAATTATCTAAAATTGATCATGTAGTGCCAAGTTGAAGCCTATACTATTATTCCACTAAGAACAGCAAGTAATGTTTGTGGATAGAATCTTACTTATCAGTTCACAAGAAATTTTTTTGCTCCCCAAGTTTAGAACGTTTAAATGTACTGGTCAGTTAAAGTGGAACCTCGATATAACGAAGGGCCAAGCGACCGGCAAAATTTGTTCGCCATACCGGGGTTTCGTTATATCGAGGTTCTTTTCCACATATTTTACTATTACCGGGGTAAAGAAAATCGTTCGTAACGCCGAGGACTTCGTTATATAGAGGTTCGTTATATTGAGGTTCCACTGTATATGTACGAAACCCAGACTATAAAGGCAATAATACAAACTGTAGGCGTTGTGTTGAAATATCGTTGTTGAGAACCACCTTTTAAACTTTAACGAACTGTTAAGAAATATTTTGCCCTTTCAGTTTGAAATTTATAGCTTTTTATTAGTGTTACAAAATGTTTTAATACATGTGTTGAATACGATTGACACAGGGTCCAGAGGAGAATGATGTGTTTGTCGTTAGAACATCAAAACCTGTCGAAAACCTCTGAAAAAATGGGTTATTTTGATTGCGTTACCGTTTCGATACACATTCTATATACCGCAAACGAAGAGACTGAGGGCTCGCAAGATCGGCTTACCGCCTCGGTAGCCCTTTGGCCGACGTTCTGTACCTCAGCGAGGTACAGAACGGAGGTTTTCAAAACGGCGAACAACAAAGTTGATCTGGGTCAGATAAGAAGCGAAGAAATCGTTTACAGTAGATTCATTAAGATCCCATTGGGCTAATAAATCGTCCTAAGCGACAAGGATATACATTTTTCAAGGTGAGACGTTAAATAAGTAATTCATTTATTCACACGAAACTTATCTGGACCTGTGCGATTGATAGAAAACAAGGTCATGGTTTACATATCGATGTTTATAAAGAAGCTTTTTACAAGCATAATATTTGATAAGAAAACTAGGCCCTTATCTTGTGAGAGTCCATAAGCAAATGTATGATAACCGTCCAGTACAAGGGCGCGCAAATATACGCTCCCATAGCGTCTTGATTAACTTTCAAATAGTAGGGTAATATATGTGGGGGTGTGTTACGGCGACTCGCTCGCTACACGATGAGGTAGATAGGATACACAAGATAAGATAAGAACTTAATTTAGCACCATAAAAAGATCAGCATTGCTGGTGGGGTCGTGCATACAACAATTACAAGAAAGTAAGGAGTACTGAAAGCAAATGTACAATTAAAAATTAAAAACTGTTAAAAATGTTTGAAACCGATATTTCAGTTTTTAGTTGTAGCCAAAATAGGTTGTGTAAATGCACAATTGAAAATCAAAACTGTTAAAAGTATTCGTAACCGATATCTCTATTTTTAGTTGTAGCTAAAATAGGTTCGAAATTCATTTTACCGTATTTATTCGAATAAGCGCCCAACCTCGAATTAGCGCCCGCCTCGAATAAGTGCCCATCCTAAAGGTAGAAAAAGTTAATAAGCGCCCAGCCTCGAATAAGCGCCCACCCCACCCCACTCCCTTCCACAAAAACTCCAGTAAGATATAATAAGGGACCCTCCCGAAGACCGAGTTTTCTTCAGGGTAGTATTGTACAGAAACCTTGCTTTGTTACATCTTCGCTTTTTGTTATTAGCATTTACTGTTTTGCTGCAAAATATACTACTACACTTGCTGAGAATGGTGAAAATGTAATAAGCGCCCAGCCTCGAATAAGCACCCACCTCGAATAAGCGCCCACTTTCAAGGTCCAAAAATTTAATAAGCGCCCAGGGCGGTTAATCGAATAAATACGGTATCAGTATCCAATTTTACAAGACAGCGTTTAAATTCTTTCAAGGTTTTAGCCCTTGTTTCCATGCGATTGCTCCTCTAAAGCGTATGGAGTTTCTGATAAAATTCGTTTCTGGTCTTGGGAGAATGATGCTCTCATTTCTTCTGCGGCCTGAATTCCTCTGTAAAAACAAATCATTAAATTCCGTGACGGTGTGATCTTTTAAACACTCGAGGACAAACTCCATTAATCGCACTTTGTACATTGTTTCCAAACTGTCCCATCCAGTTCACATAAGACATCTTCAGCGCTAGTGTGCCATGGCAACCCATATGCAATCCGTCCAGCCCTTGCATGGAGGTTTTCCAGGTTTTTTAGGTGCGTCTTGTTGCACGATCCCCACACTGTCAGACCGTATGTAACTGATGGCAGTATCACTTTTGTGTAGAAATCTCCTAATTGCCTCTGAGGGAGGAATCTCATG